ACAAAATAAGCAATGAAACTAAACAGCTAATGACGAAAAGAAGACAACTACTAGCGCAAAACAAACGCCATACTCAAGAATATAGAGGAACTTAATAAAACAATTAGAAAAGAACTAAAACCCGACATACAAAAATGGAACGAGAACTTAATAGAGCGAGTCATTGAAAACAACAGAGGCTTAAAATGTCTAAGACCCGCACTGGGAGTTCAAAAAATTATCAAAATTGACGCCAACAATAAGGTAGAGAAGGACAAATATAAAATAACATATATTGTCGAAGACTTCTACACATCCGTGTACAGCTCGCAAGGCCAGCCTAATGAAACAACAAAGGAGAACGTCAAAAGAAAAATAAAAAACGTGGGATCAGAAGTACTACCAAATAAAAAGGGATACGAAATAGAAAGAGCTTTAAAAGAACTAAAAAATAATAAAGCTCCAGGACACGACGGTATAATTGCCGAGCTCTTGAAAACAAGCAAGACATTAACAATCCCTGTACTAACAGAGCTATTTAATAGATGTCTCCATAATAGCCAGATCCCTAAAAACTGGAACGAGAGTCTAGTAATACTCTTACACAAAAAAGGGACAAATGTGATCTACAGAATTATAGACCTATATCGTTGCTCAGTCAAGTATACAAACTATTTATGAGAATTATTAATAACCGGTTAACCTACATTAACCTAATAATTACCAACCGGTTGAACAGGCTGGCTTCCGCAAAGGATAATACATCAGACCATCTGCTGACAATGAGAACATTGATAGAGAAGGCAAATGAATACCAACTACCCGTATTTCTTGCCTTCCTCGACTATGAAAAGGCGTTTGATAGTATCGAGATGTGGGCCATAGAACAAGCTATTAATAATTGTAGAATAGATTCGAGATATAGGCAACTAATACATAATATATATGAAAATGCAACTATGATAGTACAACTAGAAGAAAATACAAATCCCATCCCCATTAAGATAGGAGTGAGACAAGGAGACGTAATATCGCCAAAGCTTTTCAATCTAGCCCTAGAAGACGTCTTCAAAACTACAAATTGGTCAACTTATGGCATTAACGTTAATGCCATAGGCTAGCCAGCTCCCAATACGTCGGCCTAAAAATGAAAATGAAAAAAAAAAACAAAAATAATGACAAACACAGATGACCCCAGACATATAACTATAAACGGCAGTGAGATAGAACAAATCCAGGAATATATCTACCTAGGCCAAATCCTGAGACTTGACAAAGAGAACCAAAGTGCGGAAATTGCTAGAAGAGCAAGACTAGCATGGGCAGGATTAGGAAAACTTAGTTGGATACTTAAGAACCGCAAAATACCCTAATACTTGAGGAGCAAAGTGTTCAACCAATGCATCCTTCCTATCATGACATATGGATGTCAAACCTGGACCCTAACCAAGGCAAACATGAATAAACTAGCCACAACAGAAAGAACAATGGAAAGAGCTATGTTAGGTATACGACTCTCAGATAAAAAGAGGAACGACTGGGTAAGATCAAAAACAAAAGTCGAGGACATAACAACAAAAATTGCCAAACTTAAATGGAGCTTCGCGGGCCACACTGCTAGACAGAAAGACCAACGTTGGAATACTACAATACAACATTGGAGACCTTGCGAAGGTAAACGACCAAGAGGAAGACCACAGATGAGATGGGTTGATGACATTAAAAGAATAGCCGGAACAAATTGGAAATATGTTGCTCAGGATAGAGACCGATGGAAGGAGTTGGGAGAGGCCTATGTCCAAACATGGACGACAGAAGGCTAAGAAGAAGAAGAAGAATAAGATGTTAAAACATGTTCAGTTGAAATCTAAAGAACTGAAAGATTTTTTATGTACCTATACACTCTATACATGTAGTATCAAGTATTCTGTAGGATTTATCGAAATAAACAAACAAATAACTTATTTTATAATTTTAATTTATTTGAATAAGAATTTATTATAGCTGCTAATGTTTTCAAGACTTTTTTTACAATCATTTCGTTCCTCATTGAACGTCATTGACAACTTGGAAATTTTTAACCTTAGAAAACTGTTTGTTACGATTAGTTAAGCTAAAATAATAAAATGCAGTTTATATGCAAGTAAATCAAAAATAGAGAGTTTCCATATAACAATAGATATTGATATGCCAATCACTAGGTTGATTAGTCAACAATAATTTGTTTTTTGAAAGCATTTATTTATATACAGCTTTAACGTTCAGAAATAATTACTATGCACATGAACCAAAGACGTCTATGGAAAATTTTTTCATTGATCAATAATTTAGAAAAAGAAGACTAGGTTTTTAAAAAGTTTCTGTTCTTGTTCTATAAAAAATACTCATATCGCATTTAAATATTCGTTTTACACAGTAAAATATAATACCAGTATATATATATATATATATATATATATATATATATATATATATATATATACAGTGTGGAAACCACTTTTGATTGTATGAAACACCCTGTATATTTTTATGTTTTTAAAAGCTCCTTACAACCCGATCTCAACGAACTATATCATGTAGAGTCTATTACGAATAATACAAGGTGAAATTTTGAAATTAAGTATAATTTTCTTCGTAATTGATTGGATTACATTAAAATAAATGCTCAAAATGTTGTCCACGTTGTTGTTGGCAATTGACAATCTTCTATAAAACTCGTCCCGAACCTTGTTTAAAGCTCGAGGTGAAATATTCCGTATTTCTGTAGTTATCCTTTCTTTGAGGTCTTCAGTGCTAGTTGGTTGTGTTGCATATACATACTTTGTTCTTGAGATAACCCCACAGAAAAAAATCCAAAGACGTAAGATCTGGCGACCTCGCTGGCCACTCAATAGTACCCCTTTGTCCAATCCATTTATTGAAGAAAATTTCAGTCAAATAATTTCTCACTATTAAAGCATAATGGGGTGTTGCACCGTCCTGCTGGAACCAGAGTTTCATCATCCGGTAGGGTCGGATCTATTGAATTGGGATATAAGTTAGCCAACTGAGGAAGAACATCGTCTCTTAGCATGCTTAAATATTTTTAAGGGCACTTCTTTTTTAAAGATTTTCTCGAATAACTCCGCCATTGAGCAGTAATTTTTGAAAGAAAATTTTTGGGGCCCTCTTTAAAATGCAGAAACAATGGGAAAAATAATGGAGAGCCCTGGCAAATCCAAAATACTGTTTATAGAAATCATTCTCTAGCTGAAAATAGATCTTGACTGTCCATAGTGTTAATAGCTCCATTATAGCTGATACATTGAGTTTGGTTTGTGTTGTCAGTTGATTGACCGTTTCTAGTTTGGTTCTTAATATTTTATAAGTTTCATCCGTGGTGAAAAGGTTGGTAATATCGTGAAGTATAAAATACTTCAGAATTTCACTTTTTGATATGAATTTGATCAATAATAACGATATTTTTGTACAATAGTTTTAATAATTAGTATAAGATAAAATTTAATTCCATTCAAATAAATAATCGATTACTGCAATCGACCACTGACATTCAATTTCAATCAACTTGATTAATATTTGCAGCAGATAAAGGTCTTCTTTCAGTACAATAAAGTTTTACTGTTCTGTCGCAAATGCGTTGAATAATGAATGATGTTAATGACAGTTAGGGAGAAATTATATTTTTTTTATTTCTATGGTTCAATTTGCTAAACTTTTAATTTATAGTCAAATTTGAGTTTTTTATTAAAAATTATTAAGTCGTCGCCTAAAAAAAAAGAAATGCGCCATATTGTTGTCTATTTGTTAATTTTAAGATCCTTATTATAGGTTTCAAAAACCATATACTGGGTGAAATCTTTTCAATACCATATATGAACAAAACGAAATATTTTTTTAAAACCGGTCCTGAATTTTTGTTAATTTCATTAAATCAGTTAATTTTTTCTTTCTTTTCTCTTCATATAGGTCGCGTCATACATCTTTGGTAAACCATCTTCAATAGTCGCTTTTTAAGCTTCTTATCTTAGAATTGATGTTGTTTCGTGTATCTTTGTATTGCTGGTAGTTGATATTTGTTTTATTGTTATACTCCGATACTTTCTTTTTCAGCTTGTATCATGTTTTATTTTATTTTTGTCCACATTCCGTTTAAATTTTCTTACCTTGCTGCTGGGTGTGTTTCAAGTATACTTTTGTATTGTAGTTTGAGGGTAAATCTTATGGTTTACTCTCAAAATATTATGGACGCAAAATTCAATGAGGTATTCTCTACTATCTAACTGGGAATAAGCCACAATTAAAGATAAAAATACGTTTATTGACGTTTCAATTTCCAGTAAATTTACTGTTTGTATTTTGAGAACGATTTCCGAAGTGGAAATTGAAACGTCAATAAACGTATTTTTATCTTTAATTGTGGCTTATTCCCAGTTAGATAGTAATTAATTTACAATGCCACAAGAAAATAGCTTCAGAACAATATTGAGGTATTCTCTGTTGCGATTTATTATGTCTTCGTTAAATCGCTGCTTTTTATTGTCTATGCTGTTATTTCCTATTATTGCGCATAATAATATGGTGTTTACTGTTTTCCATAGCCAATGTTGTTTTTAAGATTCTGTGGCTGACATATTCGATATTTTCTAAGAAATTGCGGAAAACGGTCACAAATACAACAAAGTAAACAAAGCTGGACACAGAATTGGTCTTCATATACCCTATTCTTCAGATCTAACTACTATTGTCTGTTGGAATGCGTAAAAAAATGTCCCATAGTAAAAGATAGTAAAACTATAGGTATTTTAAAAACTCTTCATTTTAAATCAATTTAATATTATCATCGTGTGCAATTCAGATCAAATACGTTTGAAATAAACTTCGATTATAGTCGAAAATAGATGTAAAAAAATGAAGTACTGATAGACATAGACAGAAACTTTTCAAAGCCTTTTTAATGTATATTTTTGTTTAGCAAGTAATTATTTTATAGTATTTAATTTGATTTTTTACTACAATCACAGGAAACCCAGACATAAATTGAAAAATGGCAAAAAAGTTCGTACAAGTGGTACGAGCTCGTACAAATATATAAAAAAGTGAGTAAACTAAAAAGCCTTCAGTTTTTGTGTCATAAACCTGCTTACAGGAGGCTATTAATGTTTTTTTGGCAGCAAGCATTCTATGTGAAGGACTTTCCTTCAGCATTGTGTGAGGTATCCTACAAGGGATGTAAATAAACTTGTCGCAGACTTTTTTCTTTTTATGGTCCAGTCTAATTTTGCTAGCATCAGGCATGACTAATACATAATCTTTTTGAATGTTTTCAAATAAACCACCTTTATTAAACTTCATATATATATATATATATATATATATATATATATATATATATATATATATATATATATATATATATATATATATATACATAGTATGTATGTATTTAAGTATTTAAGAGAATATATGATTTAGGAGCACGATTTTGTCAGTTTTCGCATTTAAATCGGTACACAGCACCATACTATGAAGCCATTTCGACCTCATTTGGTTTCATCAGGTACGGGTAGTTGGATACAAACTCAAATATGAAAACTAACAAAACGTCTCTAGAAATTTTCCTACCTAAGTGGCAAGCGTACAAAGGTGCCATCTACTCTGATGGCCATGAACGAAAAAATTGCATTGATTATTGTTTTCTATCATTTGCGCTTCACGAAATGTGTAAAAAAGTTTGCATTAAGTATGTCTTAGTAAGTTGGAACCATTTGGAATTTTTTTATTAATATGTTTTAAGAAAAAAACTACTCTTCATAAAAAGTTCTGTCTGGTTTAAAACCTAAAATGTAACCAATTTTTTCAGTTGTATGGGTGTGTAAAAAATACCAATATTGCTCAAGAGTAGCTTTATTTTTAGCAATATCGAAAAATGTACCTACTTAACTCAGCGTTTGTTCCTGTATGAGCAGTTTGCTCACATTTTTTTTTACGAGAAAATTCTGTGTCATTTTATTTGAGTTTTTTAATCGGCTTAAATTTACATTGACTGTTTGGCTTCGGCAACTAGGACCATTCGCCATATTAGTTATTTAAATTCTAAAGTCTCCATCCTAGTAAGCTTTGAACTCGGATTTCCTTGTATATCAAAGATGAATCCTGTACACTACAGCAACAACGCTTTGCAATAACAATGAAAATTTAACTGGATATTTACTAACATCTAGAACACACAGTGAAGGAATTTTTGAAAGTGAGTCAAAAGACGTTCGAATTTATAAAATGACATAAATCGTGGCATTATTAATGTATGCAGGAAAAATTGAAGTTGTACCTAAAATGTGTTACATAATGAAAAAGCGTTAAAACTCAAAAATGACATGCTGCAGGTCCAGAGGAAATTTCAACAGAATTGATTGAATGGGCCAGACTTACGTCGAGTATAAACTAGTATGTAAATGGAAGAGAATGATGTTTGTAGTTAAGGAAAGCAATGGGAAAAGCAACCTGGAATATTCAAAGATATTACATCCAGTAGAACTGCAAATACTAGTACAAGAAGTCATTAGAGGGAGGATATAGAGACATGTTGACTCTCGGAGACTCATTGGAAAGCACAAAGGCATTTCCGAACGGCAGATCATGGTACATACATATCGGGAGCAAATAATATAGGTAGAAATGGAATTACCATTATGGCAACTAAAAAAATTTCACAGCATGTCTATGATTACCAACCAATAAACGATAAAATAATCAAAATAATCAATACTTGCATCTTCAAACAAAATACATATTCTTCAAGTTTGCAAGTTAACTTCAGACTCGTCAGAAAATTAAGTGGAAGACGTATATCCTTCTATAGAAGACACAATAAGAAGTATTCAAATTAAAAAAACACTTTACACATAATTACGGATCATTTTAGCTCTAAGGTAGGAGATACAAGAAACGATAACATCCAAAGGCAGGGAAATATGGAAACCGATGAGAACGTTTAATAAATTTTACAACAGAAAACAATATAGCCACTGTAAACACTATGTTCAAGTATCATGGTCGTCGTTTATCGATGTGGACCAGTCCAGACGCGAGTAGATCCGAGTTTGAATATCCCAGGGATAAAAATTTTAAAATTTTAGTTCAAATAAACCTACATGAGCGAAATTCGTATTTTTTATACATCTCATAAACTACTAAAAATCATTTTAGGTCTCTTTTATTAAGACATGCTATACATATATTTTAGAATGTGTTTCACGCAGGCCGTATCTCTGAAAATAATCGGAGAAATCTACAAATTTGCACTTTCGCATGACTTTAGCTCATCTGCATGACTAAAATATTAACAGGTCTCGTAATGTGAGAACTCGCCAGCGACTTCATTATATTTAATATTCGTTAAATTTTGAATAGAACTAATGTAAGGTATAACATATACAGACCAGTAAAGAAAAAAGGCTGAAAAAATCTTGAACAAGTTTTTGATGGTTCTAAAAGGTATCTGAGGGATAGCTGATGACAAATTCTTGAAGGCGTACATCTGATTTTGCTGTGCTTTTTTTTAAATTACTGTGACATAAAAAATATCAAAATTATTCGATTCAAAGAATCATTTGCGATCTGTTAAATGCCTGTAGAGTTACTGTTGGGCAAGTACAAACAGTTGTTTAAATAATCGTTTTCCGGGATAAAAAAAATTGATTAACAAACTATTTAGTCGATCGAGCTGAGATTTAGCACAGTCCAATAACTCATTAATTGCCATAATTTCAAGTAGTTATATTAAATGTCATTATTCAAACAACAAAGTTATTAACATTTATACATTATCAAACAATAAAACACTGAAAACTTTTGTTTTCAACGATTCCACAAAATTTATTATAATTTATTATCACTACACCTGTTTCGGCAGAGTCTTTCTCAAGTGATCTATTTTTGAATCTACATTCAGTTAACCCTCGTAAGCCGGTGCGGGTGCAGCTGCACCCTAGACCTTCTTTTTCTCACGTATGTTTTTTAAAAATTTTTTTTTCATTTTTTTGACCACATTAAATTCAATTCTAAACGCATTCCACCCATTACAGCATTGCGTTTACGTGAGTTTTTGGAAAAGTGACGGTGAGGTGCAAATGCACCCCACGATTTGTGTACGGAACATTTGGATAATAAAATTGGTGAAGAAAAAGACGCCCGTAAACATGAAATGGTACTTCATTATAATAAAACCAAAGGAGGTGCTGACGTAGTGGACAAAATGGCACAACAATATACAAAACAGCACCAAACACGCAGATGGACCATGGTAATGTTTTATCACCATAAACAGCATATTAGATATTTCAGCCATAAACGCTTATAAAATTTGAAAAATAAAAAAACCAAATTACGATGGGAAACATTTGGATGCAAGACGAAGTTTTTTATTAGAAAAGGAGGAAAATTGGTGAAAGAAAATGATATCTACACATATCAAAACACAAATCATATGCATTGTGTTACGTCAAATGATGAAAATTGCATGTCCTGAAGTCGACGGACGTTTCTGATGTTCCACCTGGAACTAACATAGTTTCGGGACAAGGTTGGTGTTACTTATTTCAGAGAAAAAAAGACCGAAAGTCACGACGGTACTGTATTGTATGTATAAACGTTGTTTGTGTTGCTCACACTTAACGGATATACCATTTATATTGGAACAAAATATAATATATAAAATTTTTCAAAGTAATCATAACATTGGACACTAATTAGTAAAGTTTAACAAAAACTAATAATTAACTTGAATACAAACTAATATCGCACAATCTCTCACTCTTTATCACATTTTTAAATTGTTCTAAGGACTGGAAAAATAGGTCTAGATTACTTTGGTACCTAATTATATAGTCTCACCATATGAGTAAAATACTTGAAGTATTCACCATATGAGTAAAATACTTGAAGTATTCATAATTAAGTTGATGAAATGGTAGATGAAAGGACGAAGTATGCCTAGTTCCATGGAGAGTGTTAAGACCTAATCGATTTAAAAGTTCAGCTGTGGAACCCTGTGTCATGTTGCTTGCAACATGTAGAAATGGATATTTCATTGCGACTTTCATTACTACATCTTATTATTTTGGTACTCTGTGTCAGTGTCGCTTTTGCTTCGGATATTTTCGAGATCTTATTGTTCACTCCAAAAACATTCATTGTTATTTGTGTTTCTAATATTGGCAATAGTTAAGGTAGATATACAGATTCAAGATTCTCTCTGTAAAAGTGTATTCTTATTGGCTACACGTTTTTAATTAAAAAATTATATCCAATGGCAATGCAAAATTTTTAATTTTAGACTTTATAATTTTAGTGACATTTTTGTCTTGGTATTACTAAGTATTTTGCAATTTAATTTATTTTAAAAGTAATTTATTTAGTAGGTATGGTATACTGAGTGATAATGTTGCCTCTGAACAATATGAACGTATTAGCTTTTGAGGATGAGGAGAGGTTAAGAGTATTAAGAACTCTCTTACATATCTCTGTAAGAAACTTTAACATTAATAGAGATAATAGAGATTAAAGTGATCCTTTTAATGAACTAACAGATTTTCAGTTTAAAGGATTGTATCGTTTAACCAAAGATATAGCAAGAGATATATTAAATGGAATCATGCAAAATATGGTCATCCATAATAATGTTGTGGCAGTTCCAGTTGCAATAAAGTTTTTTGATACCCTCCAATTTCTTACTACTGGTAGCTACCAAAACACTATAGGCAAAATTTACAATTAGTGTCCCAACAAATAATGTCTAGGGCAATAATTTTGAAATAATTGAAGCCATTATTGAGACATTTGCAAATAAAATCAAATTTCCTAACTCCATTAAAGTGAAAAATACCAAAAAAATAAGATTTATACGATACGGTTATACAATATACGACACGATGTTTACATATAAATAAACCGCTAAATCTAACCTAAATTTTGAACACTTTTACCGATTAGTTGTATCTCTTTCTAACCAATGCGTCCAATTATCAAGCGACGTGTGTCTCTCTCTAAAACAACACGTCTGAAGGTGTTGAGTGGAAGCGAGGCCACAGCTACAAAT